TTGAAAGTATTATTTATCTTTTATGATTTAATATTATAAGCTAAGTAATAATATTTACATATAATATATAATATTATTAGATCAACGAAATTATTGATGTATTTAAATTTTTCCTACCAAAGTTATGTAATTGCTTTCGGGATCACGATAATTCGCAAGAAGCGGATGATTATATTTCGCTTCCAGCACCTATATCCTCCTCCGATAATTATGATCTTATAGACCAACCTGGGTATAACCAAAGTCATGTTGGCTAATCTCGGTTCGTAGTAAGAGCGAGGATCGCTCGTAGGACCGATCGCTCGCGATCAAGATGCTCAGTGAAGACGGGGAATTCCCTGGCAGGCTGTTCATTGACGGCGTTTTTTCCCAGTTAGCTTAACTTGCTTGCGGCTTAGATAGATTATCGAGCATTAGACCAGGATTACGGCTGCGTGTTTTGCCAGGCAGTCGGCAGTCAGTCGCAGGGGAAGAGGTCCTTCGACCCATCGACTTGTGCAATCTGTGAAAATTCCAAAGCCAGGATCCGATCAAACAAGTCCCGAGTCGCCGGCCGAGGCGGATTTAATTGAGATCAGCAAGAGTGTGTGAAAAACCGCAAAGCGCTTTGGAAAATTTGCCGCATTTCCCGGCTGGCTGGAAATTCGATTGCCAAAACCGCAGCTCCGACTTCCGCTAGTTGGTTTTGCCCAGTTCCCGAGCACAGAGTCTAATCTCAAACATGTGGGTACCGCGGGCCACATTAACATATCGTTAGTGATCTTAGATCTCCGTACTGCGATCTGCGATCTGTGATCCGTGGGAAGTTTGGCGTTGGTCGAAGCCAGAACGGAAACTCCAACGGAAAACTCGCAGATTTGGCAGAAAGGCTTAGATCTCAGCAGTATCCCGAATACATCCGCTCAGTGCCTCGGACAAACCCTGCTGTCATAATTGTAGCGTAATTATTATTTATGCTGTCACACACGATTATAAATCTCATATTTGCCAAAAGTCTTAGGAGCCGAGCCATTTCAACCCCTTTGCTTTGTTCGCGTTTTGTGCTGCCATCAATAATCATATTTCGGAATTTGCATAATTTCATAATTCCAATACAATATCAATTGTCCGATCCAGTGATAAGCCACTGCGAAGCGGAGTTCCCGCCGCGAGAATCAATAAACGCTGGCCATATATCAAATGCAAAGCCCGCTAAGCCATCGGAACGAGTTTTAGGTGAGAGGAACAACGAAAGCGTAATGAAGACATTACCGAAACACAATTAAACACAAGACATTTGTCAGGCGAAACCGAACCAACCACATATCAAAGACATTGAGAACTTCCAGAGGCCATGAGAAATTGGCCAAACAAGTTTTATTGACTTTTCTCAGCATCTCCCCCTCCCCCAGTTGAATTTCTAATTTTTTGGCAAATGTGTGCGAAAAGTAAATTTAATATATATTAAATACTAAGAACGTAGATGACTTAATCCAGGCGAGTGGGGTAAGTTAAAGCTGTAAGATACATATGATCTAATCATTAAAATATGGAAATATTAAATTTAATAAGATTATATTGAGTTCGAAATTTAAAATGTTTATTTTTTATAAGAAAATCTGAGCCTCTTTAAATTTAAGTAACAACAAAAAATTGGTAATAGATAGAAAAATATTAATATTATTAATTTTATCATATTATATTTTTAAAAATTGTTATACCATTTTTCAAAAGTTTCAATTATAAAATAAGAAATGAAATTCTTTTCATTCGCCCTTGAATCTAACCTCAGGAATTCCCCAGATAAAAATCGCACTACAATGAAAATCCAGCACATTCCAAACAAGATCGGATAATAATAGTGCTTAAGCCGAACAATTCTTAATTTACACCCCAAGTAAGATAGAAAATCTGTTGTGAACGATAAATATTTTCCGCCTCCCAATTTTATATAACGAAAAGTTGAGATTCTCGATTCTCCTGCCGCCGTCAAAGCTATTTTTACAATATAATGAAACCTGAACAGTCATCGGAGATAATGAACACATCTCGGTCCAGGGCTCGATTCCGTTGTTATCCAACGTGATGTGATTCATTGGTTTATCTGAGGTATTATGCCTAAATCAGTGGTCTGTGGGCCATTAATTTACTAATTGTAATGTTGGCCATAAAATATTTAGCCGAATCCAGCTCAATCTTATCTTTGTGGACCAGGCCAAGCAGACGAACTCGCTGTGTAGGATATCGAAAATGCAAATTGCTCGCACATAATTACAATAACAATGATGGCAAAACAAAATGCTAAGTCCGAGCTGTTAAATCAAAAATATGCAAATTACGTTTGAGAGCGAACACGAGTCCGAAAACTGAAATCTGAAAACTGAATCCGAACAAGTTCGGACGGACTATGGGGTCGATTTGATTGATATGTGCTGGTTATACAGTCATTTGGCCAAAATGATGCAATCAAAACTATGTAAATGCGAACGGAGGGGCTCTTGACTTCTCTGACATTTTGAGGCTGCCGATGGTGGAAATACTATAGACATATAGCCGGAACCGTGCGGATCCGAGGGGGTTATGCCTATTTAGTAGCTAGCATTTCCGACAGCTTCTGCCTTTTTACGACATTCGGGCAATTAAACCGGAGTTGAAAAGTCAAAAAGTCAGCGCAGAAATGTGCGTTACTTTTTTATTGTGTTTTTTACCAATCGACCATTTTTTAGCCTCCTGGAAGCGGCGACCTTGGGGTAATTTCCATGAAAACGTTGTAGTTTTTTACGCAACTCGCCCGCGACAATTGACTTTTTTATATGAGGTCCTGGTTCTGGTTCAGGCCCGCTGTCTTCCAAGGTCAACCCATATGCCGAAAGGCAACCGTTTTATCCCTTTTCCGCTTAAAAAAGTGCGGATGGGTGGACGGGTGGGTGCTCTGCTTTGGCTCGGGTTATGGCCATCGGCTGCTCGACTTTTTATGGTTACGACGGCCGACGGTCTGGCTTTATGACCAACACGGCCCAAAAACGCAGACGTGGTCCGAGGCAGGCCGAGTGAGTTTTTTAGGCCAATTCTTGTGGGTACCTAAGCCTGCGATTTCGTTACCTAATCGCGGGATCAGCTTACCTAAGCTGCAGATTATCCTAGGATCATAATTATGACGGCGGACGCGACACTCGGCTCGGTTTTTTTTTATTATTACTTCTCAAAGATGCGAACGCATTGCCGGGCGGCAAAAAACTTAAGCCGGGGATTAAACCGGATTAAAGTCACATTGTCCTTATTTTTTCGCCTCTCCTTTCGGGCTAACTAATTACCCCGGGGAAAATTACCCATTTGGCTTGTGCGGAAATTCGCGAAAACGCTTGACCAGCATTTTTTAAAGGAATCCTCGGCAACGCGTCTTTTTTTATGGTGTGAGAAAATAGAAGAAAAAACGGTGGGCCATAAAAATGAATCGATTAGAAAAAAGGTGGGTGGCTGGAAGAAAAACGAGATGCCGAAGTCGAAGGATGGTTCTAGTTACTTTTTGACTTTTTTACAAGCCTTTTGTGCGATATTCCCGTTTTTAGTTGGAAAACCTCTGCCTGATGCAACAAATGAAAGTCAAATGTGGAATCTTCTGGGAAGGCAGCTAACGAGGTTTTTTCTAAAAAAAAAATAGAGAAAAGAGTATACCTAAAACATAGTTTAGATATTTATACTTCATAATACGAGCCACACTTCGCAGTCGGAAAGTCAAGGTTCCTTCTTCTGGTTGAACAACTCTTTCGGAACAATGCACATCCATAAAAGGGTTAAGCACAGAGGTTAGAGGCATAAAGGGTTAAACAGGTAGCTCCTAACTTCCTTTTGGCTCTGAGTAAACAACAATAAATATTCATAAAAAGAGTTAAGTGCCGCCATAAGGTTCTTTGTTTGGACAAAGGGAAAATTGACTTTTGAAAGGGTTGGAATTAAATTCGATTGATATTGCTATTATATTAGTAAGATAATGAAATATATGACATTAGATGATCTAAATGAGATGAGATTCTTGTCTTTTTAAACTTATTATTTACAAAGTGTGTTATTTATTGACATAGACAGAAATATTAACATATTCGATAATAATTAAATTACATGACTTACACATTCTATAATGTAAATTACACCAGAAGAGGTTGAGAAACTCTACTTAGGCTCTATATGAATCACTATATATCCGGGTAAAAACCCTTTTATAATGCTTTTTTATACCCCTTAGAAAGCTATCTGAACTAACTACTTAACATTTTATGTGTTTTCAATTCAATGTTAACAAATTAATGGTCAACTTGTTAGTTATTCCGTTTTAATCGATTTATAACGAGATATATGATTATTTTTCTATGAATATGATTCATTCGGCTTGTGGGGATTATTCGATCGGAAAATGGTGTTTACATTTTGGAAAAACTCTGGGTATCCAAAAACCGACGGACGTTGCCATTAAAACCCCCAAGCGAGTTATATGGCCTCCAACCATTTCGATTTCCAGCGGCCAAAAGGCTCCGCCCATGCCAAATAAAATGAGCAAATGTTTAAAATGAAGTCAATAGCTTGAGGTGGTGTGTGTGTTTCTGGCGTTCGATTCGATTCAATTCGAATCGATTCGAGTGAGTGAGAAATCCAGCCGCCCTTTAATAAATAACCGAATAACGAATAATATCAGGGCAATGCAAATCGCCGGATTACAGGGGACTCGAAAATCAAAAAGAGAGTTTGAGAGAGGTTTAAATTGAGTGAGTGTTTTGGCTTATTCACTAACAGAGCGATAACATTACCGCTAACATTTCACTCGAAGGGGAGTTTTGAGCGCGGTGCGCATGTGTGCGTGCTCGATCGCTCTCTCACTCGATCCGAGTCGTAAAAGTGGTGGTTTTGGCCGTGATTTATCAGAGAGCTGGGGCTGGAAACTGGTAAGTCTGCTTTTGTGTGAGTGCCCCGTACATAAGCCAAAGAGTTCGGCCAGTAGGCGAAACGAAACTCAGAAACACAGAAACGCTTCTTGCCAGTCGAACCTCTCAGCCAGAAATCAGTCGTCAGCCAGTAGCCGAAGTGTCAGTTACACACATCGAGAGTTCCCAAAGAAATCGCGTTGCTCCGGCGATCTATCTGATCTATCACATCCCGCAATTTAATCATAGTGTTGAAAACCTGAAACAAATCACATACAGAGACTGATCTGAAAGTGCTTGAAAAATACACCCGAAAATCAAAGTGAAAAAACGTGCAGCAACGATCGCGAATCGCTGCAATTAAAAAGTCATCGTAAAACCCAGTGCCCAGCCGAAAAAAAAGAAAAACACAAGAAGGTAAGTTCTAAACATGAGAGCGAGACAGCCTGAGAGATCGAAGTCAATTCACGGTTTTAGTTTTTGTTTTTGGGTCGCGGCCGTCGGCAGATTTTATGATCCCCTGTGCACTACTTTGATTTTTTACTGTTTCGCGCGAAAAACTCGCGGCCACATTTCCATCTTTCCCTATTTTTTGTGCGGCCCGCGGGGCCGGGGAAAAAAATTGCAATTTTCATAAACCGAATTTTTTGTTTTTTTGTCTTTGACTCGGGAAAAATCGGCGTGAGTTTTTATGGCCGAACGTCAAGGTCTGGAGTGCTGCATTTTTTTAGGGAACACTATTTTCGCAGCACTCGTAATGACTTCGTATAAAAAAAGGAAAATCTACCTGAGTTTTATGGCTGGACAGCGCGAAAAAAACTGAAAATGAACGCATAGGGTTGCATAATCCGGCAGCTTAAGTTTTTTTTTTTCGGCCTGTTGTGATCATAAAAAACGCTCATCCTGCCGAGTTTTTCGCAGTTTCCTATAAATATCCTGGGCAGCGCTCGGCACAGCATCAGTTGCTCAGCAGCATTCCAAACGAACAGATCGCAGAGAGATCGTGAGAAAATCATACAATATTCCGACAGAAATACGAAAATCAACATGGTGTTCAACTTGGTTAGTGTCTAGATCCTACGCTCGCCTCACTGTGGATTAAATATACCTCTCATAAACCTCCCGACAACCACCAGTGGATTAAACCCTTACTAACGCGGTATTTCTCTACCATTTTCCAGATGAACCAGACATGCAAAGTGTGCGGTGAGCCGGCGGCGGGCTTCCATTTTGGCGCCTTCACCTGCGAGGGCTGCAAGGTAAGTTCCATTGAGAGAAAAGAATATAGTTTCCGAGACCCCAAAAGGGGTGGAGGGAAATACTGCTCGAGACATTCAAGAAACGGGCTAAAAAAAAGTTTTTCATCATATCTTGAATGAAGTTTCTTGAATGGATTTCTTTTTTTTCCTTATATCAATTTAACTAACCCCTTACTTTCCTTTCTTCCATTGCAGTCCTTCTTTGGCCGATCGTACAACAACATCAGCACCATCAGCGAGTGCAAGAACGAGGGCAAGTGCATCATCGACAAGAAGAACCGCACCACCTGCAAGGCGTGCCGCCTGAGGAAGTGCTACAACGTGGGCATGTCGAAGGGTGGCTCCCGCTACGGTCGTCGCTCTAATTGGTTCAAGATCCACTGCCTCCTCCAGGAGCACGAGCAGGCTGCCGCGGCGGCGGGTGGCAAGGCTCCACCTTCGGTGGGTGGTGCCCCTTCGGCCTCCTCCCCGGTGGGTTCACCCCATACGCCCGGTTTCGGTGACATGGCCGCCCATCTGCATCACCACCATCAGCAGCAGCAGCAGCAACATCAGCAGCAACAGGTGACCCGTCATCCGCACATGTCGCTGCTCGGCTATCCCAGCTACTTGCCCGATCCTGCCGCCGCCCTGCCCTTCTTCAGCATGATGGGTGGCGTGGCTCCGCATCAGTCGCATCCCTTCCAGCTGCCCCCTCACCTCCTGTTCCCCCAGTACCATGCCAGTGCCGCCGCAGCAGCTGCCTCGGCAGCGGATGCTGCCTACCGCCAGGAGATGTTCAAGCACCGCCAGAGCGTCGATTCCGTGGAGTCGCAGAACCGCTTCAGTCCCGCCAGCCAACCACCGGTGGTGCATAATCAGCAGTCCTGCTCTTCAGCCCGCCAGTCGCCCATCGATGTTTGCCTGGAGGATGTCAAGGAGGATGTCAAGTCGGTCCAAAGCAGCCTCCTGCATCCCATCGCCATCCGAGCCACGCCCACCAGCAGCCCCCTGAGTTTTGCGGATAAGATGCAGAGCCTTTCGCCCGTTTCTGTGTGCTCCATTGGTGGCGAAACCAGCAGTGTGGCTCCTCCACTGGCGCCTCCAGTTGCACAGGAGGGACCCATGGATCTGAGCATGAAGACGTCGCGCAGTTCGGTGCACAGCTTCAACGACAGCGGCTCCGAGGATCAGGATCAGCTGGAAGTGATGGCTCCGCGCCGCAAGTTCTGCAAGCTGGAGGCCGAGTGCCTGAGTGCCACCAGCAGCAGCAGTTTCTCCCACTCCCACTCGCCGAACAGCACCACCCCCACCCACGCGGAGGTCAAGCGGCCGAAGCTGGAGGCCACCCACTTTGGGGGCTTCGCGGTGGCCCACAATGCGGCCAGTGCCATGAGGGGCATTTTCGTGTGTGTCTAGGGTACACGGCGAAAAAATGGGAGGAGTCGAGCCCCCCAAAAAAAACCCTCGTTGTTTTTTTTTGTTTGTTACTTGAAAGAAAATGTATGTAAATTTTTTCGTGTGCTCGCTCACACTTTTGAGGCGGTGAAAGAGATGGGGAGACAGACAGGTTTCGCTGGAAAGAGACAGCTTGACCGGGTAGTTGCATTGCACTCGCACACTCACACCAACAACACCAACACCTACACGTACATACTGAGCTCAGATCCAAAAATTATTTTTATAAAAACGTTAAAATTGTACATATTTCTTTGAGCTTGTTTGCGATTGTGTTTTAAAGTTAAACGATCCTTAGAAAATAGTTATCATTCCCACCCTCAAAACGCTATTGTATATACACAAATTGTTAAGTCTAAGAATGATCTTGATTGTCTCTAAGTATTTTATTCTATTTTAGTCCTAGTTACTGTACGTCTATAGATTGGCTTTTAGTTTTACAAAAAGAGAAAAATAAAAACTATTAAAAATTAATCTGTTATTGTGGTTTTTTAATATTTTCGGGAGATTTCGGAATATTTTTTTCAGGAATACAAAATTAAAACCCCAGAAAATTCTAGCTTTTAAACTCATTAATGCAATGACTTATTTACTGATTTTATTTTAGCTGTGACTGTTCTGAATAGATATTCAAAATTAAAATACACAAAATAAGTTAACGACCTGTCCCGTTTTTATACCCTACTTAACCACATTATTATGGATCATATAGGGCCCGGTCAAAACTATCTTTCGGATGTATCTGCTAGCTGTCGACTACCGCACATTCCTTTAGGATCAAAGCCCATAAATTATTTACGTATTCAGCTACCACTCTTGTTTCAAAATCAGTTCTGTTCGAACATAGGCGATATCGGAGCATATATCTGATCGGCGGTGTCTTTGCCTCGGTTTTCTAACCACGGGCCAAATGGGCGTGGCCTGTCAATGGCAACACCAAACAGAGACGGAAAACAAATGCTTTGGCATAAATTCAATCAACATTCGGTTGCAAGTCGATCGGCGATGGCCGATGGCCGATAATAAAACCGATAAAGCAGCCGTTAAGTGCTTTTTCTTCTGTGACTGCAATGGGCAGTCGTATAGTAGTGTAGTAAATTAAAAATGCCACAAATGTTACGCACAGATATTCGATGTTTCGGCCCCCTGAGCTCCCTGCTTTATATGCTGCGGTCATGAGCATTAGGCCTATGCCTTTGGCTATACCTCCGATATGGGCCTAACCGATATCTCCGGCCGATTCTGGCTGGCAGTGCTGCTGACCACGTGCTGCTTCAAATAATAAACTTTATATTAACACATACAAAAGTCATACGCCCCGTTGATGGCCAGAATTTTAATCACTTAATTAGGCGGCCGGGCTGACTGACTGGCCGATCGGGGCGAACTTTGTTTATGGCCCGACGGCCTGACTGACTGCTTTATCCACCAACCGATGATGAATGGGACAGTCGGCCGCGGCACGAGAACTATGCAGGATACCATCCCCCGACTCCTCTTGGATGCAAAATTCCGTAATGCTCGACTTTGGCTGAGGCGTCAACGGTAATAAACAATCCAGGTGGGATTGGATCGTATCGAATCGTATCGTATCGTATGGGAGAGATGAACAGCGAACAGCATATCATCAATATGCATGATGGAGCCCATATGTGGGGCAAATGGGGAGCAGGGGACCAGCGCACGCCATTGTGTCGCTGACGATCGCATTCCGACGTGTGTTTTGTCGTCATTGTTTCTAAATTTATTTTTATAGTTTATTAAAGAGTCATAGTAAAAAGAGCCACACGAAATAAAATACAATAAACTCAGGCCGTGCGAAGTCAATACACTCTTAAGTAGGTTTCAAATAAAATTAAGACTGCAAATGAACATTTTAATTTCGTCTTTGGCTCATATAAATAAATTTATAAAATAATTTTTCAAGTTTTTCATCACTATAATCCTGATATTAAGGATAAACTAAACTAATTTATTAAATACTCCAATAATAATTAAAAATATTTTAAAACAATTTTGTACACATTCAATTAACTGCACTGTAAATTTTGTTATAGAAAATTCTAGTAAATCAGAAGAGTAAGCCTGGGTCAAAATACAGAATATTTCTGAGCTGATTCGTTCTTTTATATTCTTACGTTTAACAATAAAAAGATTTAAATGCGATTTCCCTAAACTAAGTTAGGCACAACTAAAAAAACGAACTTCTAAGTCAGATTTAGTGACTAGATATGTGGCCCAAGTCAAGTTCGTTTCCTAAGTCTTTTGTTTTGATTTCGATAAATTTAATGTCGCAAGTTTAGCTTACTTCAAAAACCAAATAAAGCACACGCCCTCGAGAACAATAAATCCAGCGGCTGATTTGAGCGACTTTTAACCCCATTTCAGGGTATATCCATATCATTCGTCAAGTTCGTTGCCCAAGTCTTTCGTTTTTATACACACTTTTTTTGGGTTCACCTGGCTGTCAAACTGAAAAAGTGGTTCATTTGTCTCATCGCTCCAATCTCTCCAATCAAAAAGCCATTTAGACAAGAAAGACGAGAAGAATGAGACAAGCGGAGGGAAATAAAATCGATTCGGCATAAAAATGGACCAAAAGTATAACATTTCAAAATTTTATTGACTGTCAAAATGCAGGCGCCAATGAAAATGTCCGCAGACAAGCGGGCTAGATCAAGTTACCTGGCGCCAAAGGGGACTTTCGAGATGCTTTATTGACCCCTCGCAGTGTGTCTGTGTGCTCGTCGGGTGATCTATGATAGATGCATTACTAATAGAGTTCGGGGAGATAGAGACAAAGACTCGGACTTAAGCTGCGACTCGGGCTCATCTGAGCACATCTTTAAAAATAGTTCAAGACAAGCACCTGCAAAGGCATTCGCATTTAATTATTTATCACCGTTCGCAATGCTAATGTTCCATCGGTTATAGCTTTCAAATTAATGCATGCAAGACATATATAATACGCGCGCCGTAAGAACATGTTTATTAAATTAAATAATTGCAGCCCGAGTGAAGTGGCATCGCGCTGAAATAAAAAATTCAATTCCCAATTTGCATTCGATGCTGACAATGGAATTAAAGAGACAATATAGAAAAAATGGCAAATATTATTGACACATTATGGTGGAAACATGTTTCCAATGAGAAATTATGCAAAGATTTGCATAAAATTTTAAAGTTAAAGGCAAGTCAGCAATCTTAACAGAGTCAATGCCTCGGTTGCTTTTGCGTCCGGTAGCGGCCTTAATTACCGCCGAGATTCTCTAGATTCTCAAGAGGGTAAGGGGCGTGTTCCTAGACAACTCGCAGCTCGCTGACAAATAGTCAAAACAAACTATGACATACAGCAACGTATTTATATCTTCAGCTGGCAGTTGAATTGAAGAGCGTGGATCATTAACTTTTCAAGGAGTCGAGGATTGAGGAAGCTGCAAAGATACTTTTATTAAAAGTGGTTCTGGTGCTGAGAGATTGTTTAAGTTATTTTTAATGCACTAACGGAAGAGCATATATTATTTATTATATTTTAAATCAATTATTTAATATTATTGAATTATTAATATTATTTTCATTTAAATTAAAATTTTAAGATGAAATATTCAGCATTATAAACAAGATATGTATCAACAAAATACTCAAATATTCAATACCTTTTAAATCTTATATATTTGTCAATGAAGTTCAGAAATGATGTTATCCTAAGTTTAAAAAGAGGATTATGCTCCTTCCAACTAAACTAAACTATGTCAAACTATATTTTTTAAGTTTTCAATATTATTAAAAACTTTGACCTTTTAATAAACTTACTTTTGGTAATGATACAAATAAAGGAGTTAAATTTAATGAACTGCGATATGTTGCACTTCCCACTTGACCTCAGCAGTAAACTCGCTCTCTCTCCGTAACTACATACCAACAGAATTTCAGTGCTATCCCAAGATCCGATCGGATGACGGACAGTTCCATTGTTCTTCCACCCAGCAAGACATTAACCCACTTAAGGCAGCCCGGGAGAACGCAGCCTGCGAGCTGGCCAAATCACATGGCACACTGCCAATCGGAGGCTCATCTTTATTGATTTCGATTCCGCCGCCACCACCTTTAACCCCCTTTCGAGATGGACCGATGGACAGTCGGATCGAATGGAAAAACAAACTCCGAGCTCTGGGGGCGCTTGGCTCACACGAGATCGGATTTGGCCGAAAGGGATTCCTTTCGTGGCCCGCAGTTGGAGTTGGGCCAAAGCTGGCGCTGGTAATTAGTGATCTGGTGCACTTGATATGCACCTTAATTTAAACATTTCGTACACACCCAGCCGGGGCACGCATTCGCATTCTCATTCTCTTTGGCTTTGTATATATATTTTTCCATCCGACTTGGGGCCCTTCTTCTGATTCTGATTCCTCGGGGTCTCATCTGGTCCTCGGACAAGTTCTGCGTGTAGCGCATGCCGTTCGCTTGTTTCTGGCCCATTCCCAATCCCAATTCAAGTCCAGTCTCATTCTCATTCTGGTGCCTTTGCCTTTGCTTTGGCTTTTGCCATTGCCATTCCCTTCGCGCGCCGTGTTCTCGTTTAAACGTTTATTTAACTTAAACGAACTTTGCGTGTCGATTAAAGTGCTGCGATTAAGGTACGACCTGATCCGGTCTTCTGGTATCTGTTTCGTTTATTTTGTGGATTTCTGGTGATCACTTGTCATGGGGTATATTATTTTGAGTTCGAGGAAGGACATATACGTGAGCTTTATTGTAGGCTTTTTAATATGAAATATATTTTATTGCAAATATTTTTATAGGAAATGTTTTTATTGAATGAAGATATTTAGGAAAACTGAAGTCTTATTAATGAGATAAATTGTAAAATTAAAATATGTAGATTTTTATTAACATCTCTGTAAAAGAAATCTTTATATTCAATTGTTTAATGCCTAAAATTTATTTATTTATTTATTTTTAATTATTTAATTTTACTATTAAAAACAGGGTACCCTCATCGACTATCAGTTGCAGCTTGGGCATTCCTTTGCAGGTCTTTCAAATGATTCCTCCGTTTTTTGAGGCGCATGCGTGTCCAGTGAACTTACAGGTCAAGCATACGCATGCCAGCGATAAAGTTGAGGTTGCATTGCCAGCATCATCATCATCACCGTAAAGTGATCATGATGAAAGCGAGGGGAAGAGGATCATCATCGGCTTGACCTAACCCAGACACGGTTACAGCTGCATAAATCCTTTCGTGGACTTTCTCTCTGGGGCCTCCTTCTTTACGACAAATTTGCCCATTATTCTGTTTTGGCCGCCTGATAATGTCCTTTTGTCTTCGTTTACGGTGTGTTTGGGCCCCGACAGCGTGCCCCTTCTACGCCATCAAGGTCCAATGTCCAATGTCCACGAGGACCGATCGCCGAGCTCCGAGGACCGCACACCACAATCC